ACTATGAATAAGTAGAAGTCTTTAATTTTTATGAGGTCCAATATACCAATTTCTTCTTGTATAGCTGAATGTCTTTTGTAAGATATCTCAGCTTTTCCCAAAGTTGCAAAGATTTTCTCCTAAGTGATACTGTTTTTAGTTTTCATTTATTAGTGTACTATAATGTTTTCCAGGTTCACTACCCAGATTTACAGGTAAATGAAAATGTTAGTAATTAACCAGACCTCTTTCCTCATTTAGTAAGCTGTCTAGGCAAAGACCTCCTAGAATTATAGATATCAATACCAGTAGGATTTTGACTGGCTCCTGGTGTGAACACCAGGCAGCCCAAGAGAAGCCTTAGTCAGGCATGTTTCCATGGAGAAATGTCTGCTTGTCACACTCTGACCCCCTGTGTGTGCTTCAGTCTTCGGAGCCAGTAACCTTCCATCTCTCATCTCCAAAGAGATGCTACAGTTATACTTAAGATGCTTTTCTTATCTATTATTAAAATGCCTAAGTTTTCCCCCCTTTTAAAAAACCATGAAAGTAATGTGTACTCACTATAAAAAAAAATACATTAGGTGGATATAATTTAAGAAATAAATGCCTTCCCCACAGATCCACTCCCAGACTCATATTTTCTTGTATATGTCTAGAAATTGTCAAAATAAGCACTTATATATATTCATTGAAATACCAACACATATATTTACTCAGGCGCATGCATCTATTTTTTAAAAAAATGGGTATATGTGGAAAATAGCTTTCTGCAACTTGTAAAAAAATTTTTTCTCTTAGTAAGCTATCTCAGCAACCTTTCACATCAGTATACATTATCTGAAGTTTTTCTATGGTGAATTTTTGGGGCATAAAAACACGCCACACCATTTGCACATGCATTCCATTTTCTACCAGAAGGCAGAAAGAAAGCATCTGAGCTGATTATGTAACCTCTGCCAAACACACTGCTCCTCCCCACAGACACCGCCTCTGAGGATACTCCTGCCCCTCATCCAGACCCCCTCCCTCCTGCACCCCCACTCCGCCCCTCCCCATGAGGACCCAGGCCGGCCCCACTCTCTCCCTCCCATGCCTGCTCCCAGCTCTTGCTCTCTCTGGGGTCCACCCCCACTTGTCACTTTGGGTAAGATGCTCTCTTGCATGAGCAGACTGTGGGTCTCCCTAGAAAACTCTAAATTCTCTGCAGTCAGGAGAGACGAGTGGTGGGTTTACTGCTTTAGGCAGCAGAGAGACTTTCTGATGGATGCACCCTTTTGTGGCAGGATATTTTTAATCAAGGATACTTGTTTTGGAGCTTTGGGGCTAGAGGCATTTTAGGGGACTGAGTGGGTGTCTCAGACATAGGAGATGAACGGGTCTGCTCTAGAGGCATAGCTGATTCTGAAGATAAACGGCCTGGGTCAGGATCTCAGGAGGGGAGCCACGGGGATTGTCTTATCTACATAAGAGGTAGACAGTCGGGCCAGGAACTCTTCTGAGGAATGAAGATCCAATGGGCAGGAAGCAGAATGAGGCAGAGGGTGCAGCAAATAAGGAAGCACCACCTGTTTTATTTTCAAATGGAGAGGGTCCTCCCAAAGGTACCTTATTCTGTATCCCAAAACAGGAACCCAAAATCACTGCTGGTTAATTCAGTATAACACCAAGCAGGCTGTCACGGTGCTTAATAGAGCCATGACCATCATCCAAACTGAGCCAATCTCAAATCCCATATTAAAATAAAAAAAAAAAAAATCTTCCTTTGCTCATGCTTCAGTAACAAATATTACTTCTCCTCTGGACTGGTTCCCAGCAGCCCATTTCAATTTTCATCTTTAATGCAGTTGTCTTATCACATTGCCTTTCTCTGGAGTACAAGACTGAAAAGCGGTCACACATCTTAAAGACGTTTTCAAATCCTCTTCCCTTGAATGTACACACACAATGTTATTACGCTACAGTGAGAGAAACAGGTGACCGAGCTTCCTGAATCAATGGTCCAGCTGTTTGGATTAAGAAAAATATTGAGCCTCATTTCCCCCAAAATGTGCAGACGGTTCCTTTTGGACGTGGGTAGAGGAGGATTTTCCCCCTGTGGATTGGATGGGAAGAGCACTAGACCAGGCGTGAGGATTCCTGGGTTTATGTCCTGGGCCGGTGCTAATTAACATGTGACTTTCCTTTCAATGTGCTGGGCCCGAGTTCGCTCATTTTAAAATGGTAGGTGGTGGCGGCTGCAGACTTGGGAGGAGCCAGTTCAGTTTTTCATCCCTTTCTCCATAATTCCTTGTTCTACCTCTAATGTCCCTTGACTTCTTTCTCCCTTTCTGACTGTGGCTGCCAGGACCACGGACTCCAAGGAGCACCTGCCAAGCGGGGCATCTGTTCCAAAGCCTCTGAGGGCAGCAAACAATCCTAGCATTGGCCGTGGAAACCTGCGACCTGCCCTCATGGGTACCTGCCAGGGCCACTTCAGAGCAATCCCTACAGCCTGGCGTGCGCATTTTGTGGGTTCCTGGTGTGGCTGTTGTCTGTGTTCACTCCCCTTCCTCTGGGACTTGGTGCCAGAGGGAAGTGACTTGGAGAGGCCATCTGTTTTAACAAACGAAGACTAGGAAGGCCAACAGGAAGCCCCTCGTGCAATCCTCACGGCCGCAGACCCGCTGCAAAAATCTGAGCGCTATCCTTGGCATCCCTGCAGTGACTGAGCTAGCAAAATGACAGCAACGAAACATTTCCCATGTGGAAAGCCTGGAATTAACAACCATTACCTTCTAAAAAATCATTTAATTTTCCACAGGGCTAACGTATGTCGCCCTCTCCCCCTGCTTTCCACCCCCCACCGTCCCCCTACACACATCTGAAGTGGCTCAGATGAGGATGAAACCTCCGTAAATGAGCAAAACAAACAAAAACTACCAAATAACGTATGACACACACTTGCACAGAGACAATCAGGTATAAGCAACACAGACGCGTGCTCGGTCAGATACATGCACTAAGGTGCTCATTTCTCTCTCACATTCTCCACTAGAGGGCCCGCTCCTTGCTGGCTGTGCTCGCTGCCGTGTCCCCCAGCACCCAGAACAGTGCCTGGAACACAGGGCCTGCGAGGTAGTTACCCAACGAGCGGATGGACAGCTCATCTAGTCTGCTGCTTGGGTGAATCTGGCTGCCTGAGGCTTGGCACCCAGCTGGGGGAAGAAGTATCCAATGACCACCAGGGCATGAGCCTCCAGATGTGCAGTGAAATCCCACAGGGACACCTGGAAACCAAACGCCCGACCCCATGCTAGGCGACACTGGGGTTTGTAAAACCTCATGGGGGTTCTGAAACGAAGGCAAGGTGAAGAACCACTTGGGTCTGGTAAACCAAGGGTCTGCGAATGCCATCCAAAGCAGCCCATCGAGAAAGACTAGTGCTCCCCAGAAATTCTTTATCTTCTATAACTTTACTGGAGGTCTTTGCTTTGTAATGCTTTTATCTAATTTCTGTAACTCTATGTGAAAGTGACACATCTGAGAGTATCTGGTTAATTCCTAAAAACGGAGAAAGAAAATACAGTCAGCCCCTCCATATCCACAGCCTCTACATTCTTGGATCCGACCAACTGTGGAACCAAAAATACTAGGAAAAAAATGTCCAGAAAATGTTGTTTTGTTGCTGGAGCGTATGCTACGTAGCTGGGTCTACAATGCTTGCACCTACTGTACTACTTTTTCTTGTCGTTATTCCCTGAACAATATTTACATGGCATTTACATTGCCTTAGGTATTATAAGTAACCTAGAGATGATTTAAAGTACTTAATAGAGAAGAACACGCAAATGCTACACCATTTTATTTAAGGGACTGAGCATCCATGGATTTTGGTATCTTAGGGAGTCCTGGCACCAGCCCCCTGTGGATACTGAAGGATAGCAGTACTTGGATAACTTTTAGGGCCGAGGGGATAAGATGCAGGCGAAAACAGGCAGCAAACAAACAAAAACTCCCAGTAAGCTGCCTGTTTCCTGGTAAAGTTCTGAGTAGACTTGCGTGGCTGCGTTTAGGTCCACCCTGCATACCATGCCAGGATCCTCAACCAGGGCGATTCTGCACAGCCGGACAGAATGGCAATGCCTAGAAACAGGTTTGAGTGGCATGACTGGGTGGGGCAGGAGGGTCCCACTGTCATCTCGTGGGGAGAGGCCGGGGTGCCGCTCAGTGTCCCGGGTGTACAGGACAGCCCCACCTCACAAAACGGCCAGGCCAAAAGGTGAGCGGTGCTAAGGCTGAGAAACCCCATCCTAAACTAGCACACATGTGCACTACGATCAAGAAAAGCAAATTATCTCAAACAGAACACATCAAGAGTAAACAAATGGATATAAAATTCCCTTTGTGGCTGACGTCTTCTTTTTCTCCTTTTTTGCACGATCCCTACGCGTAGGTTGAGAGAGATCGGGTATCTACGCTTGTTGCTCTGAAACCACAGAAGTATGCGAGTCCTGCCCTTTGGCTTCTGCTGCAATCAGTGGAGGTATCTGGAACGGCCGCCTCTGATCTCGAAGGCAGCGGGACAGGGGGTGCTGTCAGCTCTACTGACACCACCCGTCATGGATATTTCTTCCACTTCCCCTTTGGCTGAAGGTTATTAAGAAAGAAGTTGCCAGAAGTGAGGAGCCGCAGGGGTGAGACTGGAAACAGGAGATGGGGTTCTCTGTGGACGTGAACTGAAGACATCTAAGGGGTTCTCGGCACAGTGGGACGGGGGAGAAGGTGACGCCACCGAGCCCGGTGCCCAAGTGACTCGAGTGGCGGCGTTTAGGGAATGAAAACCTCACACACAGCTGGACGCCCCGTCGTGACCTGACGCATCAACTTCACGCTGAGAGTTGGAGACGGGGAGACAGAGAACACCAAGCGTGGCCTTTCTCCCCCACCACCAAAAAAATGAGTTGAAGAACACCCCAAACTCTTGCAGCTCTAAACAAATGAGTGAGTTAAAACCAACAATTAAGCAAGCTGAAACTAACCATTGTTTGTTGGAACAAAAGATGATCTAAGCCAGGGGGGTGAGGAACAGGACGGATGATCAGAACGTGCACTTGTGGGTATCATTAGGCTCCGCGTCACCCACCTCCTAAGGTCCTTCTCGGTGTGAAAGTCGTGACTGGTGAACTCTAAGTGACGAATTTACCGGCTCTCAGGAGCAGTGTCACAACCAACTCTGTAAACCAGGAAGACTTTTATCTGCATCAGCAACCCCCGTCAGAGGGCGTCTTTCTAACTTGCGTCCACTGCCCGTCTATTGCCCCTAATGCCATGTCACGGGGAAGGGGACTCCAGGAAAAGGGTCCGGGAGAAAAGCACTGAGCTCAGAGTACATCCCGGGCGGGGAGTGTGACCCCGAGGGCTGCCATCTCCCCGGGTCTCAGACCCCCACCTCTGAAGCGGCACTAGGGTGGCTGGGCTGGAAGCTTGCTCTGGGGCCCTGGCCCCCTCCCAGCCCATCACTGGCCCTGCTGCTCCCCTGCTTGAGAAATGAAAGGAGCACGTCACTACTCCCCAGGCAGATGCGCTTCCAGGCTTCCGTTTTCTCAGGGCAACAAGAAACGCTTTAACTTTGATGTCTTCTGAGTCCCTTAGTTCTAATGTCCTCTTCGCCTGGGCAGAGAGCTCTGCGTCACGTTGCCGTCACATTTCCCAATCTGTCTCCAGAGCGAGCGGACGCGTCGCCTCCAGCCCTTTGGTGAGACGCTGTTCACCCCCAGCACCTCTTTCATCTGGCACTCTCAGTCTTCCCGGTGGTGGACATTTACTTCTTTAATATCTTTGACCAGTGATGGAAATCTCTCTAGCAGCTGCCGGGGAGCAAACTGAAAGGACCCAAGTGAGCCAGAACAGAGTACAGAAGAATCTAAAATTCTAGAACTTGATGCCCAGGGCAAAGGTGACGGGTGACACAGAACAAGTTAGGACTTCTGTCCCATGAGTCACAGGAGAGGGCCATTACTTTTGTTGGGTTCTGTTTGGTTTGTTAAACTGATCGTGCTTGTCTGGGGTAGGTTCTGGGTTTTCCGGTTTGTTTTAAAAAATTTTTTTAACTTCTTATACGCAACTGAGAAACTGTATATGTTCCCCTCGTGTCCCTTCCCCTTTGCATCTCATCTGGCTCTAATCTCTACTTACTCTGACTTCTGCCTGCTGGGTCGCCCCTCTCTGGGGATGCTGTGACTGAGAGCCAAGAGCAAGGGGACATCGGGATGTCGCAGAGGGGACTCGGACCCTGGGAGGGATGCAGGAGACAGGGGGATAAATGCTGAAGCCCTCTAGACTCTGGAGCCTTTTGCTTTGAACACTTCCTGCTTGCTCCTGGCTTCTTGGACCAGTGATACGGCCAGAGCTTAACACCCAGGAGGGGACAGAAGTCAGCCTGGGGTTTAAGAGGGCTTCCATGGGGCAGGAACAGAAACGGGGACTCCCATGAGAGCCCTGAGAACCTCAGAGCCTGGCTCCACTGGTGTCTGGGGAGAAGGACGATGCACCATGTCTAGCAGCCAGAGATGGAACCAGGAAGCCCCCAGGGGCCCTGGGCAAATACAGTGCAGGGAGGGTGAGGGAACACTGGCGCCTCGGACTTCAGTCTATTTCCCCCTCCCTGCGCTGTAAGGTCATCTTCCCCAGCGACCGGCTTTCCCCGACCAGCACTTCTCCTCACTTACTGGAAGATGGGCCCCTGCCCAATCCCCACCCCAAAGCCACTTCCTCCTCTAGGACAGGGCTCTGGGCTGCTGCCAACTCCTGCACCAACTCTCCCACGGCTCCGGGGGTGCTCCTGGGGGCCCGGCCCCCACCGGGCACTCTAGCGCAGTGGGTGTTGACAACTGAACATTTTCACTTGCACGGCATCTTCGTTAGCTCTGTCTTCAACTGGGTAGATGTGCACAGACTCTTCCAGAAGCAAAGATTCCATCGCAGAGTGACCCTGGCAGGTGTGTCAGTGAGAGCGAATATCACTCAGAACCCTGACACGAGGGCTTCAAGGCACAAATCGACTGCTTGCCCAGCTCTCAACTGTCGCCCTCCCTAATGTTCCAGCAGGGACGACCTGGAGGGGTCACTCTGCACACAGGCTCACTTTGTCTGCAGATGGACGTCTTATGCTGACTCACAAGAACTTCAAAAGAGACCATGGACCAGATATGATCGTCCCGTATCTGACAGTTGACAGTCACTAGAGAGACACGTTAGAACAAAACCTTGCCCTGCTCTTCCTGCACAGACGTCTGCCACGCTGAACCACACGCTGGGCCACGCAATGCACTGCGCCATAGACAACCACGCCGTTGAGATGATCTCTTCCTTGAAATAGGTTTTTGCCTTTCGATTTCTTTACTAGAAAGCTGCTTCTCAAACCTCTGGAAGGGGGACCACAGGACTTTCCAAACCTTTAACATCATGTCAGCTCTGCAGCTGTGAGATGCTGTGGCTCTGGGACAATGGTGACTCTCTACGACCAGAGTGACGCCAACATTTCCCTTCAAGACGGGTCAGAGGGTACTCTGAGAACCCATCTGCAGCCAGAGGAGGTGGGTCGGGGTGAGGAGAACAAATTGAAAATAAAATAATACACCTCTTTATAGCTCACCAGTGACAGCATCCCCAGAAAGGGGTGACCCCGGGAGGGATGGCGAAACCAGAGACTGCAGCCAGCAGAGAGTCACAGCCAGCTTGGTGCCCAGGGGAAGGGACTTCAAGAGGGACGTACAGTGTCCCACCTTGACTCTTTGCCTCTCAAAGCCATTGGTGTGGACCACAGACTTTGAGAACAGTCACACACACATTGCAGAAACCCCTCGCTTTGCTGCCATTGACTTCCAGATGATAGTTTAGGGTGTTCTCTGGAGAGAGGCCCTACATATCCACCAAGGTCCACATCTCTTCTCTGTCCCATACAGAGCACCAAGACTGACAGTGCCTTGTGTCTGTGGCCCCGGAGGGAGGCCAGCCAGGCCAGGTGTCTCAGGTGCACACCCCGTCCTCTGGGGGTGGGAGGTGAGGATTGAGGGTGGCAGAACCAGCGACCAGGCTGCCCTACTGATGTCATGTGCAGAGGGCTCAGAGTGAGTATTAAAGGACTGATGTGTGTGGCACAGATGTTCATGTCACAGTACGTGCACAGGCCAGGCAGACGGGCTCCTGGGCTAGGCCTGGGCCCTCAGGTGGACAGTTGGTAGGGGACAAGGGAGAGTCTGAAAATGTTACTCATTTCTTTGGCTCCTAGAACTCCTTATTTTAACCTAAGGCTCATAATCCTCTATAGTTTTCTTCTAGCCAGTTTGGTGGGCTCCATCCAGAGCACCCCAAAGATAGGAAACCGATGGGAGTGTACCAACAGGGCGAGGACTCCTGCATGTTTTTAACCCTAAGAAAGCAAATGTCGGCATTCTTAGGCCACCTTGCTCCCAGATTAAAAGTCACAAGGTTACAGGAATAATGAATTAACTATTAAAACTTGGTTACTTAAATCCTGTTTGGGGAACCTTATCAAAAGATTAGATGGAAACACAGATATAACCAGGTCGCTTCCCCTAAACACACACACACACACACACACACACACACACACACACACACACACACACACACACACCTCTACAGATACGATCTCTTTCTTCCTCCCTTGGACCTGAGTTTCAGATACAAAGAGGAACCAAAGGAGATGAAAACACATTTCCCATAAAAGACTGGGGACTCTTATCCCTGCCTCACTCCTTACACACCAAACTAAAGACCCGCCTGGATCTTGGGGTAACAGTGGAACATTCTTCGTGGGGGAATGAAGGAGGATATTTCTGGGCCTGTCTCCTCGGCTACCCTTCCAGAGAGAATTCAGGCTGCTGATTATACCCACAGGACTCTGTGATGGTCACTGAGCTCTGTCTGGGCCTCAGTTTTAATGGTTAGCCTTTTCCTCTTTCTGGTCTAATCTTTCTCCCAAAAAATAGATTAGAAAAAAAAAAAAACATGTAAAAGCAAATCCACAGCTTGATTTTTTCTTTAATTTTTGTGTAGTTCTCTGATATGTGTTTATTCAGAAACAATCTTCACTATGAAATATATCAGTTGAAAAATAAAAAGAAAGCACTTGCATTTTCCTTTATCTTACATGGAGCCTTCACCTAACGTCTGCGTCGAACCTAAAGCACAGCCTGGTTCCTGGGGAGTCCTGCATCTCTCAGGGGTTGAAGAGAAGTAGGTGCAATGTGGAGGCTGTAATAGTGTAACTGTCACCAATTCTGCTTTCACTGACGAGTGCATGCTCGATTAACATAGAGTCACACTGGCACCATCCATCCATCCATCGTTGAGAACAAAGAATATCATTAAACAGATAAGGAGTATTTCAGTTTAGACAGAGTTAAATATGGAAATATATATAAATTCAAGATTAAGACTATAAGGAAATAAAAGGAGTACGTTTGTCACCCATAACATTTAAGCACAACATTATGCTATTGGGAGAGAAATGAGAAAGTACCCACCCTGCCCCAATCCCGAAGGAAATCCTGTTCCACCTCTAAGGGTGGAAGACCCCTACCCTCTGAGAAGCAACTGACGAGGAAGTTGGGAATGATCAGCTTGGGTTTAAAATACGGTCTAACCATGAGCAATGAGCTGACCTTCTGGTGGGTGAATGAGAAATGGATTCTGAAGACAATCCTCAAATATGCTCTCACAGAATGGTTTTGGGAATGGCTGTATCCCTGGAATAAGTATTTGGTGTGTAAGGAGTCTACTTTTAAGGATTCTTTTTTTTTTTTGGATAAGTTTGATGTTTTTTTAAAAAAGTCAAGCTCCACTTTCCAGCTACATGGCATACTTCTGCTAAGGTCTGAAAGTTTGTGTCCTCCTCAAATTTATGTGTTGAAACTTAATTACCAATGTGAAGGTATCAAGAGGTGGGGCCTTTGGGAGGTGATAAGGTCATAAGAGTGGAGCCCTCATGAATGGGATTAGTACCCTTATAAAAGAGGCCCCAGAGAGCTGTCTTGCCCCTTCCACCATGTGAGGACACAACGAGAAGGTGCCATCTATAAACCAGAAAGTGGACCCTCACCAGACACAGAATCTGACAGTGCCTTGATCTTGGGCTTCCCAGCCTCCAGAACTGGAGAAACAGATTTCTTGTTTATAAGCCACTCAGTCTATGGCATTTGATTATAGCAGATGGAATGGACTAAGACAGTGAGAAAAACCCCAGTCCAAAAGCACAAATGCTAAGCAAGTGTTATATGAAATACAGGAGGCCTGGGTGCTGAGGGCAAGAGCGTGGTCAGGGAAACATGCTTTTAAAGGAGGAGAGCTCAGGCCAAATCTGATTTCCTCTTGCTGATGCTATGTCTTCATCCCAGAGCTACAAATGCTAAGCCAGACAAAGCTTTGCAGTTTCTATCTGGGGCATACTTGTTTTCGGAAGAACGAAAGGGGTTTGACAATCACCAGAAAAATATGATGAACAGACCCAGACGAGCTGGAAAGGCAAAATCGACAAAAGGTGATGGCGTGGACAGAGGAAGTTTCCCTCCTGCTAGGGCCACAGCAAGGACAAAAACATCTGGAGAGGACGGCTGGCCGGCCCGGCAAGCTAGAGGATCAGGTTACTTCATGGCTGCAACCGAGTTGGTTCTCTTACCATGAAAGCCTTATTTCATCTTTTAATAGAAAAAAAAAATTGCAGCAAGTACTATACAAGCAAAACCAAACAAAGAATACAGGAAAACAGAGAAGGAAAAATCTACCAGTGCCAACTGCCATCATGCCGGCACCTGTGGTTTTCTCTCACCCTTTTAAGATTCTTCTAGGAAGGATTTCAACATAGTTTTTGTTTTTTTAAACTAAGCTTGTGTTAAGCCTACGCCCCGCCTGGGAGCCTTCAGATTTTGGCTGTGTCAGAGGATGGTGCAGTTACTGGACTTTTAGGGTAAGAGATTTGGGAGGGTGGAGGACGGGAATCAAAGTGAGTCTCTGTTTGTAAGCAAACAACCAACCTAATCTCTTCTTTAACAATAAGAATGTCAATCATAGCAGCAGCTGCAGCAAGAAATAAAGATAGAAGCAGAGAGAACAATATGAAAGGATAATCTATAGATTAGAAGAGACTTAAAAGATATATCAATTGGTTACAATGTATGGAACCTTATTTGGTCCTAGATTTAAAAAACAAATGGTAAGCCAGGTGTAGGGGTTCACACCTGGAATCCCAGCACTCTCAGAGGCCAAGGCAAAAGGATAGCTTGAGGTCAGGAGTTCTGGACCAGCCTGAGCAAGAGTGAGACTCCATCTCTACTAAACATAGAAAAATTAGCCAGGCATCATGGTGCATGCCTATAGCTCCAGCAACTCAGGAGGCTGAGGCAGGAGGGTCACTTGAGCCCCGGAGTTCGAGGTTGCATTAAGCTATCATGATGCCACTGCACTCTGCCCAGGGTGACAGAGCAAGAACCCTGTCTCAAAAACAAAACCCCAAAAACAAATGGTTCAAAAAAGTATAAGCAAGTGGGAAAAAGTAAACACTGATGAAATACTAAAACTGTTAAAAATGTAAGGTATACTACTGATACTGATTTGATTTTTGAAACATATACAAAAATATAGGCAGAAGATAATCATATGATATCTAGGGATTTGCTCCAAAATCCCCATCGCTTGGGGTGAAGGCGGTGGTAGAACGTTGGGAAGACCCAGATGAAACGAACCTGACCAGAATCGATGATTGTTGGGTGGAAGGTACACAGAGCTGCGTGACTCTATTTGTTGCAGTATATTTGAAATATTTTATAAGAAGTTTTAATAGTTAGGAGAAAAATGGTGGTAAAATATACCAGACCGACTGTTCTAGATGTGGAATATGCCCTTTGTCAACAAAGCCAGGGCCCAGGACACGGAGAGCCAGGTGACGCTGCATTCCAAGGAAGGCTACTAGGGAAGACAGACTAAGTCTAGGCTCAACCGAAGGTTTATTTCCCTCTTGCGCATGAGTTAAATTCAACCTTCCACTGCAGTTAAGTGTTAACCAGTGGTTAAACCTGATGCTTAAACAGCATGATAAGCACAGCAGGCCCAATTCCGTCTGTCTTCTTGTGCATGCCTGGTTGGGGCCGGGGGAGTGTGAGGGGGAGGGGACAGACGTTAGCACCCTTCTGACCCTTGTAGGCAATTAACCGATACTTCCATGCAGGAGGTGCCATTATCTTTAACTCAGCAGGCATAACTGTACATAATTAGAGGTCATAATTACGGTTCTCTTTTTAAAATGTGACCACAGTATCCAAATTGACCTCTTGTGGCAGCGTGGCCTACACACTGGGAAGTACAAAAAAGACGGGTACAGGCCCTACCCATGAGCCTAACAGTGACAGGCAGCCAGTGTCCCCTGGAGACTGCTGAGGTCAGGCGTCTGCACTTATTCCCTGGGGAACTTCAATCTGTTTGGGGTTTACTAATTATCATTTTTCACTGTGAAACATTTTACTTCTTTAAATAGACACAGACTAGCCGGAGCTGCTCACTGTTTTTTAAACCATGGGGAAATGGCAAAAGCAAGCACTCAAATTAATATGCCAGTAATTATGTGCATCTACTATCTAATTATCCACGTAATGACCAAGTTGAAAAGATCAATTTCTGATCATTTTTTCCACTTTAGCATTTTGTAAAGTTGCTACAGAGACTCTATTTCACTTTAAAAATGCTGATTTATTCTTATTTTATTATACCTAATAATTGGCCCCACCTAACAACATTTCCAGTTTTATAAAGACTAAACAATTATATAAACTGAATTGTCTGCAGGGAAATCATACCTACCTGGATTTTCATATAGACAGACTGCTTTCAGTTCTAAGCATGGAACAATAGAGTTTTTTGAATCAAAAGAGACCCTCTGAAATCATCTTACTGATGCAAAGCATGAGGCAGGTCCTGACAGAGTGAAAGGGATCTGACCGGGTCAGCTGGCTGGCTGGGAGCTGAGAGGGGAACCAGGGTCAACCTGGGTCTTGAGTCACATCAGCCTGACCCCTCTACCTGACTCTTAAGTATCAAAGAGGCTCCATCCCATGACACCTTACAAAGAAAGACACAAGAGTTATCCATTTTTCCTTTTTAACAACATTAGACAAGTCCTATCAAATGCCTCCTTTCCTAACCCTGTAATGGTAAACACTCTAGAACAAAACTAGGTATCCACCTACCTTCCACGGATACTTGGAAGAGTAAACTTTTTGTTATCTCTAAAGCACTTCGGACTCACTGGATGTCCCATAAATATAAATGATATAAACAAATGTCATGACCGAAAATCATGGGGTTGAGGAACCCAAAGAGATATTTTATGACCAAACTGTGGTTATCACCTTATTTGGTGGCACCCTGTTAATTTCAGTTCTTGCTTCCAACACAAAGCCCAAGCAGCTAATCTGTATCTCTCTCACATTCCTTTACTTGCTAGGAGCATCTGCTTCTTTACCTTTCCCCCCAGAAGCCATTAAATAACCCTGACAAATAGCCGACTTCTTTCCAACAGTATTTTAAATCCTCAATATTTCAAATGCTTGAAAATTTGGACAGAGAGATACAGCAGCACCAGCTAATCTCTTCCTGGCTGAAAAGAGGGATAGAAAATTCCAAAGTTTGATAGAAGCATTTTCAAATGGATAGCAGACAATGTCAAGCCACAACATTTACACAGCCAAGTGATGATTCTTGCTTGGAGGCGTGAGCTTCGAACAAATGGCCCTGAGGAATATAGTTTTTACCAATACACTTTTCTTGAATAGAACAGCTTGGGAGTGAATGATGGTTCTCTATACTTGTAAAAGCTTCTTTATTCAGAAAAGCAGAACTTAACCACTATTCAGAGGTCTCCAAAACTAGAGTTTAAATAAAAGAATAATTGCCTTACTCCTTTTCTAGGCATGTCACTTCTAAGAGTTACGACCTTACTACTGTTTTCTTTTGGTCCAGTAAAATAAAGCAAAGGAACAAGTCTAAATACAATGCAACAAAGATATTGAATTGAGACCAGTGCATTTGTATCTCAATGCAAAGCCATTGCATGGTACACCAATGCAAATGCATTGATAAAGTTAATTCTACCATTGTATTAGGTAAGGGGGAGCTTTTCAGTGGTTAATTCTTCGAGTTTGTATTATTTACTGGAACATTTCATATAGCAACTTGGTGGAGAAATTTCAAGTCTATGCTTTACAAATATTTTGCAAAATAAGTGGCTGCTTGTCACAGTTCCACAACTGATGCTTGACACAACATCTCACATACTGTTGTCTATCAAAGACCTGATTCAAATAAAAGGGTGATTCTCTAGAGCTTTGCTTTACTGCTCAGTAAATCAGTATCCACCATATTTATCCCTAAGTGTCATTTTCTGCTTTAATTTCCACAAACAAGCCACAAGTTAAAGACTATGATTTCCTATTTCAAATAGATTTTGGTTCCGAACTGCACAACTTCATTTAGTTATTTGTTGGAGTATGGGCAAACCTCAGCACCTGGTGACTAAAAGGGTTAACAACAGGGGTGTTATTGGGTCAGCCTCTTTCTTTGGCGGTCCATCAGACTGAGTGGGTTTCACAGTAAAACATTCCAGCCATTTGGTAAGATCCTGGCATCTGCTGAGCAGCAAATTCAGCTCACTCTGTTTTGCTTTATTTTATCCTCAAAAGAAACCATACATTTTGGGCTACAGAACACAATTTTTATATTTTTCCACTATCTAGTCTCTAATTTTCTCCGTCTAAGCACTTTGCAAAATGCAAAAACCCAAACAGAATAGCTAATGAATCCAAAGTACATTTAATTTTACTGATTCCATGTCACATAAAAATGTTAATTTATCCAATTCTTAAACTTCTAAAAAATATTTCATTACCTTTCATCTGGAATGTACCATGTCCTACCCAAC